TGCAGCAAGTGCTGCTGCAGCAGCAGGAGGTAGTGATTAATGTATGAAGATCGGCTCGCATCATTTGCTGCCGGTTGTGTGCATAACCGTTAAGGGTATAGGGTTTGTGGTTTGTGGATTAGGGTTTAGGGTTTGTGGATTAGGGTTTAGGGTTTGTGGACTAGGGTTTAGGGTTTGTAGTTTAGGGTTTGTGAATTAGTGTTTGCGCTTTAGGGCGTATGAAAGAGAATGAATTAGGGTTTAGGATATGTGTTATAGGGTTTGTGGTTTAGGGTAGATGGCCGAGGAGGGTTTAGGGTTTGAGAAGGGTTTGTGGTTTAGGGTTTAGGGTTTAGGGTTTTCAACGACTCGAAGTTGCTGTTCTCTGAATGGTTGTAATATTGTTTCTATTTGTTTAGAGACATCCGCTATACTTTTATTAGCATCTACAGCAGCAAGGGCACCAGCATTGTTAAATAGACTGCATATTTTAAGAGTGCTGTGTATATACACCTGAATTCTCTTCTTGAAGCTCTCTTCATTATCGTCAGCCCTGTGGCTGCTTGCTGCTCGCATTAAGACGCGTTTAATCATTTCTTCTTCTCTACACTCTAAAAATAATAATAAACGCGGACATATACCCCTGCCTGCAGATATTTCTTGCTGCAGCTGCTGCTGCAGCTGCTGCATCAACTCTTCATCTTCCTCCACTTGCTGCTGCTGCTGCTGCTGCTGCTGCTGTTGCTGTTGTTGCTGCTGAGAACGTGAAACCCCTGAACCGCCCGTATTTGCTGCTGCATTTGCTGCTGCATTTGCTACTGCTGCATTTGCTGCTGCTGCTGCATTTGCTGCTGCTTCATCTGCTGAACCTCCTGCTGCTGTTGCTGCTGCTGCTTGCTGCTTCAAAGCATCATCAATAGAAGCAAACCCAAAGAGTTTTACTACTCTTTCGCTCGTCTCTACTAAACTTGTATCAAAAGAATATTCCTTCGCTATGCGCGCAACTTCATACGGCAACGCTGTGCCGTTCGTCATCTGCACATACACCCCAAAACCCTAAACCCTAAACCCTAAACCCTAAACCCTAAACCCTTCTTTATCACAGCAAACCCAGCCCTTCAGTCCACCCACATTACACGCAGTTCAGCAAAAGATACAAACGAAGGTTTAGGGTTTAGGGTTTTGAAGCACGGTTAGGCTCTCAGCTAGGGTTTAGGGTTTAGGGTTTAGGGTTTAGGGTTTAGGGTTTAGGGTTTACAGCGAGCCAGCCTGATAGATTGTCTGCATTTCTAGGGAAACGATCAATTAAGAAAAACCCTCGAAAGCCCAGCAGCAACATCTTGCGAAGCAGCAGCGTCAGAGTTATACGCACAGGAACAATACGTCCTGCGCAACCATAAACCCTAAACCCTAAACCCTAAACCCTAAACCCTAAACCCTAAGCACTTGATGATGCACAGAGAAAAGCACTTCATACTTCACTGCAAATCCTGCATCCTTCCGTAGCAGTTTGGCTGATGCACATCAAAACATTCATGCTTAGGGTTTAGGGTTTAGGGTTTAGGGTTTAGGGTTACCCTCGCGGATGCACTCATCAATCAGCTGGGCGTAGGGGCTTCTAGGGTTTGCCTGCTCCTCGCGGAGGCAATCCCCTGCAAACAAACCTAAACCCTAAACCCTAAACCCTAAACCACAAACCCTAAACCACAAACCCTAAACCCTAAACCCTAAACCCTAAGCACTTGATGATGCACAGAGCGGCAAGTCATAATATGAGTCCACTGCTTTTTGTCTTCGGGTTGAAGCAATCCCCTCAAACCCTAAACCCTAAACCCTAAGCCACAAACCCTAAACCCTAAACCCTAAACCCTAAACCCTAAACCCTAAACCCTAAACCCTAAACCCTAAACCCTACCTGCAGAGATATGGGGAATAAGAAATTCTTTTTGAATGATAGCGCATTGCGTCCCTTTGCCTGATCCAGGTCCGCCCAACACGAAGATCTGAAGCCGCCAAACAACGAGGGTTTAGGGTTTAGGGTTTAGGGTTTATGAGGGTTTAGCATTATTAGGTCTATTAAGGATTATTAGGGTTTATCGATTTTCATTAGAGTCTGCTAAGGCTTGTTAATTAGGGTTTATCAGGGTTTGTTTGCTAGGGTTTAGGGTTTGCTAGGATTTGTTTATTAGGGGTTAGGGTTTATTAGGGTTTGTTTATTAGGGTTTAGGGTTTAGGGTTTGTTTATTAGGGTTTAGGGTTTAGGGTTTGCTAGCCCTACCGCCTGAGGCAGATCCATCTTCACTCGGAACGAAGCACCACGACCCCTTGCTGCTGCTCTTGCTGCTGCTGCAGCTACTGACGTCCCTCTTGCTGCTGCTGCTGCTGCTGCTGCTGGTGATGCTGCGGCTGCTGCTTGGGGCAATCTTATTGCTGCTGCTGCTGCTGCAACTGCTGCTCTTTTATTGCTTTTTAAGAAGCTGTTCAGTGCTCTTCGTCTGGCTTCAGAAAACATAAACAAGAA